GCTTCAAAATGAAGATGAAGGTCATTTTCCCAGGAAGCAGAGCCAGCGAGCTATGTATGTCGTGAGACATCACCCAGGTGCCATGGCCCTCAACTCAGCTTGCCTGCACTTAGCTGTATATCTGAGAATAGTGCCATGAATTCTGGTCCTGCTTTTAGATCTGTGATTTAGAGTTGGTTTAGGCTTTGTGTTTACATGGTAGGAGAGCATGCCTTGTTTAGTGATGAAATTTCCTTTGGACTAATTTTCTATACCTTTTTTTCATGGAGCCAACATCAGGATACAAGGGTGAGACCTCAGGTATAAATAGTAGGTCAGATTTTTTTCCGAGGAAATTTTCATAGTACTAGACTAGAAAGGAGCAGAAGATGGTGTAAGGCGCAGGGTTTGACCACTCCCAGCTCTGAGCATCCTGTGTCCAGACAGTGCCTTAGTCAAGATTGGGACTTCTGCTGCCCTCCAGAGCAGCAAAGACCCCAAAGGGTGAGTAGACCCCAGAAATCATGAGAGTGAGGAAGGGCTGCCCTTGAAATGGATCTAGTTCTTCCTCATCTCTGCCAGTGATGATGCTGACAGACCTGTCACCTGCTCAAGCTTCCTCACTTCTGAAGTGTTGGTGATTGCTGAGTGTACCTCCTGAAGTAGAGTGTGCATAGGTTGTCGTTAGGTGAACCTATCCTATCCTGTGCCACGATCTTCACCATGCTCAAGCACACTGTTACTGTAACTGTGTTAGTCCACCTTCTTGAGGGTTGTCCTCTCGTTATCTGACCCTCCACCTTTCTCAGCATGATGTCTTTTCCCAAGGACTGGCCTCTCCTGACAATATGCCCGAAGTATGTGAGACAAAGTTTGACCATTCTTACCTCTAAGTTAACTAAGTGCACCTTAGTTGCACTTCCTCTAAGACAAGATTTTTTTTAAATTCTCTTAGCAGTCCATAGTATATTTATTATTATTATTATTCACCAACACCACAACTCAAAGACATCAACTCACAGACATTTTTCTTTGGTCTTTATTATTCATTGTTCAACTTTCAGATACCTACAGAACTACTGAAACTACTATAATTTGGATCAGGCACACTTTACTCTTTAAACTGACATCCTTGCTCGTGAGCACCTTAGAGAGGTCCTAGATAGAGATTTTCCCAATGCGATTATATCTTTCGATTTCTTGACTGCTATTACCTTGATTGTAGATCTAAGTTAGATGAAATCACTGTTATATACAATGGAATATAGATATATGGGAAGGTTACATAAACTGCAAAGTAATAATAACCTGGGTTTTCTTCCTGTTGAATAGGCATTAAAAATGAATAGGACATGGAGAATTCCTTGAAAATTATTCATTGGTTCTTTCAAGAAAAGTACAGCAGCAATAATATTAGCCATTGCTGGCACTTATTAAGTGCCTTCTTTGAGCATGAGGAGAGCAATTGCTTATGTTTGAAACATTTTACCCCCTTGTCCTGCCTGAGGAGTTTTCCCCACCACTCCACCAGAGAAGCCTTTAGTCCCACCTGCTATTTCTCCATGAAATTGTGTCACTTGAGTATTGGAAGTTTTGGGGTGAAATTCTTTAATATGGTGATAAATTGGGCCAGGAGATACAGTGTTTGACTTGCCATGTATGATTGAACCGCACAGCAGCTGTCATTGTTCCTTCTCCCTGCGGATGTGAATGTGAGAAGTGGCAGGAGGAGGAACTCACCAAAGCTGTTCTTGTTTGCAGGCTCCACGAAGCTCTGCGCCTTCCAGACCACTCTGCCGTCATAGAAAATCCAGGTGAGTCTTCAGGAAACCAGAGCCACTGTTCATTTATTCAGTGGAAGCTCCTTTTTCATTTTGAAAAGTAGATCCTCTAACATGGTAGTTGATGTCCCTTTTGCTGGCTGTGATCTCAGGGCATTTAGGTTTTAAAGTAGTGAGTGGTTTGACTGGAAAAGGGCTACTTTTCTGAGTGGGGGAGGAGAATATCAGCATTGACTGCAGCCTGTGAGATGAGCGCCCCTGTGAGATATAT